TCATATATTTAATATGGGGTACCGGCTGAATATAAATTTTACAAGTGGCCTATCCGGTAGTCATCACTTAATTGAAAACGTCCATCATGAAATTTCATCACATTACGACTTGTAAGTGAAGTGATATAGCCATATGGAAAGCATTTATTAATTCAGTAGCTTATATTTTTGTTGGTTGTGCAGTGAAAACGAGCAAGTTGAACCACCCGTACTCACTCAATTGACCGAAAACGACGTATTACATCGGGTCTGGCAGATGCACATAGTGAGGAACAGAATAGTGATTACGATAACAATGCTGATGAATCCGAAGACGAGACACCCTTTCCTCGTGAGGATGGTGATGGGCAGGATGAGGAGGAAGGACCTGATTTGAAGAGAGACCCCCCTAGACGAAGAGTGTACGAGTCCGAAGTGTCGTTTCATTCAAGGGAGATTACTTACATTGATAACTTGCCAACCGTGCCGGATGTGGAAGCTCTCACAAGGGATTTTGATGAAATCCGAACAACAATATGGGATGGGTCTAGACCAACGGTGCTTGCAAAAGGGATGTTTTTTCCTAATAAAGCGCGCTTAAGCAGGGCTTGTAAAATGCACAACGTAAAAGAGTGTCGTGAGATGCAGGTATGGGAGTCAAGTCCGATGGTATACAAGGCTGTTTGTCGCAGGTGGTTTTGGCCGTGTAATTGGATGTTGCGTGCGACCAAGAAGAAGACAAGTATGTGGAAAGTGGGTAAATACATTCCCACCCACACATGCGAAATGGACACATTCAACGGGAATCACTTCAACTTGGATATTGACTTGATTTCTCTTGTACTTATTCCGCACCTCGAAGCGTCCATAAGGTATACAATCAAAGAGTGCATTACATCAGTCCACCAGGAATATGGCCATACCATTACGAAAAGAAAGGCATTTCTCGGGCGCAAACGAGCGTTTGAAATTATCTACGGTAATTGGGATAAGTCATTTGCATCTCTGCCAAAGTACATAGCCACACTGCAGCACTTTAACCCCGGGACAGTTGTTGAATGGAAGCTTGAGCAGAGTCCGGGAACACCAGAATACATATTCAATTACGTGTTCAGGGTGTTTAAGCCAGCAATTGATGGTTTTTCGCATTTTCGGCCCGTAATATCCATAGACGGAACTCGTGTATATGGAAAGTACGATATCAAGCTATTAATAGCCGTGGCAGTGGATGCTAATGGACAAATATTTCCTCTAGCTTTTGCTGTTTGTGACAATGAAAGCATAGAGACATGGATGTTATTTTTGAACCACCTGAAAGAGCACATTATCAAACAGCGATCAGGTATTTGTCTAATGTCTGATCGGCACGGTGGTATATTAAGTTATGTGGAGAACTTGCCTGCATGGCAAAAACCTTATGCATACCACCGTTACTGTGTGAGGCACTTGAAGGCCAATTTCCAGAAGGCACATCCCAACAAGGATCTATATGATTTGATGTGGATGGCAGCAACAGACCACCAACAACATAAATTCCGGAGGCATATGGATTCTATCAGGCAAGAAGACGAGGCAACCTATCGTTGGTTAATACGACATGACCTTAAAAAGTGGACGTTGCATGCGGATGGTGGCAGACGATAGAGAATTCTTACTACAAACGTGTCAGAGTCCTTCAACGGGTTATTGAAGTTGGTAAGAGGATTGCCCGTCATAGCCATGGTGCGGATGTCGTTCAAGTAGATGGCAGAGAGATTTGTTGAACGATCTGCAGCTGCAACGGAATTGATGGAGAGGGGTGTTGAATTTATGCCAGTGCCTATGAAGAGATTTGAGAAATACAGACGGCGAGCACATTGGCATTCATTTTTGCAGTATGATAACGAAAGAGGTATTTTTGAAGTTCGCACTGCTATCCATAATAATCGGGGTAATAATGGTGGATTTGCACCAGGTGGTCTCTAATGGGGACCAACTACATACGACTGGACCCAAACGCTACATCTGGGTCCTCCGGCCTGAAATCCGTGAGCATGTGCAACATATCCCAATAAGATTGCAGATTATAATATCTCATGGTCGCAGGCAGTAAAACTGGCAAGCCATCAGCGGACAGGCCATATAAAATCTCAGCGTCCTGGAGTGTGATGGTGGCCTCGCCGATGGGCAGATGGAAAGTGTGTGTCTCCGGTCGCCACCGATCAATCAAGGCCGTGATCAAAGCATAATCGAGCTGTATCAGGCCAATCCTAATAATTCTATATAATCCCATCTCCTCCAGTTAATGGACCATGCGGGGATGTAGAACGCGGGGAGGACTCAAAAACACCCACAATAGATCCACTCTCCTGGCCCAGAAAGTCTGCGTAAGTAACTATTCGTCCCATATATACTCGGATCTATGCTAGGGCTGTAGGGCTAATAGATCCGACGTCCGAGGGCCANGAATTCTAAGCTAAAATACTACACATTACTACGCTACAAGGCTCTAAATTTTACTACGCTAAAATGGTCTACGTTTTACTACGCTAAAAAAGTTTAGATTTTACTACGCTAAAAAATAATCTAAACTAAACATAAACAACAAATAAATTTAATTGCAAATAAAATGCAAAACGACATGAAAACACATATATATAAATCAGGATATTAACAGACAAATTTATTTGACAATTTTTTTTTTATAAAATACTAAATTAAATCCGGATAAATTTAACATGCTAGTTTCAAAAGAAAAACACAAACCGAAATAGAACACATACAAATCAAATAATATGCATTATTATAAAAGTTTCAACTTAAAATAAACTGAAATACCTCGATTTAGAATTTTCCGAAAGCAAATAGATGAAATTTTGACTTCGGAAGTGTGAATCAACAATAATACGAAGCTCTACTCGAATGTGGGACCTACGTTCTACAACTTTTATGTGACGGGGGGACCCAATTTTATTTTTTTTAAATCGTGGGCAGCGGGTATGGGGGACCAAGAAGAAAGAGGAGTAAAATATTGAGGAAGAGAACCAGAACGACGATGAAGAAGACGGTTCGATTTTTAAAAAGGAGTATAGCGCCAGGTATTTTGGCGCTATACCTCGGCGTGTCAGCTTTTTCAGTATAGTGCCACAATACTTGGTGCTATACATTAACGGCACAGTTAACGTTAATGTATAGCGCCAAGTATTATAGCACTATATATAAAAATGTCACCCTTTTTTATTACCTATTTATATATTTTGAGTCCAAAAGAACCATAATTGGGTTCCGGACTCCGAACTTCAAAGCTAATTCCTATTTCTTAAAGTCAAATAATGTACTGTAATAAATATTTTTTTACCAAAAAAAGTCCTTTTCGTCTAGTTGATGGAAATATGCATTAAATTAAGGTATTGCCATTTTAATTTAGTAGTTTTTGATATTTAATCTAGGTAAATTTTTTAATTATCTTAAAGTCCTAAATATAAGGACTCTTACTTAATTCAAATAATGAAAGATTTAAAAATAATAAATTTGATTAGAGTCAAACACCTAAATATTAGCTAGAAGAATAATCAAATAACTATTTTGTCTAATGCGAACTCTAATTTAAAAGGATAAAAAAGGCGAACGATATTTCGCTAAGGGTCTTTGTGCTTTTAATATAGTATAGATAGATAGATAGATAGATAGATAGATAGATAGATAGATAGATGGATAATTAATCTCTTTTTTATTGTTCTAGCAGTAAATTCAATCTTGTATCCGCAGATGAACACACCATGCCACCTACATGCACTTCTAATACTCCTTCAGTTTTAATTTATGTGTTATAGTCTGATTGGATACGAAATTAAAAAAAAGTAAAAAAAGACTTTTGAATCTTGTGATTTTAAAATAAAAATGTGTATAATATATCAAATTCTTTAAATCTATTAGTTTTAAAAATGCCATGTGAAATGATGAAGTTAAATAGTTACTAAATATAAAAAGTTTTTTCTCAAACAGACTAAAAAGAAAACTATATTAAGACACATAAATGTAAATGGAGGCAGGAATATGTATTCTGCAAAGCACTTATTAACCTTTAGAGTAGGCGGCAAAAATCATAAAGCTGAAATATAACTTCATTATATTGGATTGATGAAATTAATTGAAGACCTGAATTCCAATCACAAAAGAGGCAAGAAAAAAGCTAGGTAATTTCGGAGAATGTAGGTATGGCCAATCAAATAGTCTAGTTAATAAATTGTTTGATTTGTATAAGGTAAATTTTAATTGATTTTGGTATCCTAAATATTAGGATTTTTATATAGTAATTCAAACAAGGAAAACTTTAATAAGCAAAAATTTAATTGATTTTAAGGTGCTAAGTTTTAGGAAAATGAAAAAATTACTATTTTGTCTAATGAAAACTCTATTTTAAAAGGGTAAAAAAGTCGAACGACATTTCTTTAAGGGTCTTCATGCTTTTAATATACTATAAATAGATATGTTATTACTATGTATGTGATATATACTATTAATAAATATTGTATACAATATATTATTTAACATATACTTATATTACAATGATATGTAACTATACAATATTTCTCATATATTGAATATTTATATGATATGCCCCAGCTTGTTAAGGATTTGCTTAGGTGAATTTATTGAATATTTATTTGTACATATTATTGATTTGATTAGTTTTACTATTGTGTGGCGGCTGGAGATATGGTATTGTACGGACCGTGGGGGAATATGGATACTTAGATGGTGGGAGTAACAAAATCTCCGATTATTAAGCCATTTATTATGCGCGATGTGCCAAATAATATCTCACCTATAATATGTCAGAAACGGAAATTTTGGGACTAACTATACGTTTTAGATTGTCATTCCCCTTAAATAGGGAATTTACCATATTGCTAGAGTACATCTTTTATATATATGTTGTACAATGTGTAATTCAAAATCAAATTGTAGATTGGGTCGGGTGGCATACTATGTAATTCTTTCTAATTAGGCAATCGACCCCTTCCTTTTTTTCCCCCTCTTTTACCCTAGACTAGACAGTACGCTTCGTCATCGATATTTTTTTAAGCCCTAAATCTCCGCTTTTGTCATCGAAAATTCTCCCAATTGCTTTGTATCTCGTTTCGTCAAGTAACTGAAGTATCGATTTTTTTTCTTCCTTGCAGCAACTTGTGTTTTTTAAATCACAGTTTTGCAATTTTGTGTGAACGTGTGTGTATATATATTGAATTTTCAGAGCGTCAAATTCTCAGCCTTTAACAAACATTGGTTGAAACTTTCTATAATATTTCTGGATGGCTAATTAATTTTTACTTTCGTCCTTTGATAGCATCTACTGCTATCTGATTCCCATTACATGTCAGACCTTCAATTTCGGCTAATTAATTTATTTTACTAGTGTTCAAGGTAAAATAGGTGCCTTTTTCCCTCTGCTAATATTTTTCAAAGTAAATTTGGTGTCTTTTTCCCCTTTTGAATATTTCTGTCTTCTAATATGAGTTACGTACAATGTATATTTATGTGATAGTGCAATCCCATCACTCAACATTTGTTTCCATTTTTATTTTATTTTTTGCAGTTGTTAACTTTATCAGAAGTGGTGAATCAGGTTATGGATCAACATTTCCTTTTCCTCTTTTTTTATCCCCTTTCTAGATTGACAGCAAAATACTAGTCAATACGAATATGACTCTGTATCTATGTGCAGCGAGCGAGATGGGTGATGTTCTTCCCCTGTGCGCCTCTCCCCACCCCTGCGTTGAACCTCCCCGTGCCTCTCGCTTTTGCAGCATTGTGAGTGTTTCCTATCAGAAGTGCAGGCGCTTTTTGAGGGCCGTGGTTTCAATCTTGAAGATGATTAGGTTACCCGGTTTATGTACTTGTAGTCAACCAGCCGGTAAGTCTTTTGAAGTTACGGTGCTTTTCTAGCTCGGTTGGCTGATCAATGCCACAATTTCTTTTCGAGACATGGGGAGTTTCTCCTTTTTAAACTTTGAAGTTGTGACTTTTTGTGAAAATTTGCTCTTTCCAATTGTGCTTGTTCATAGAATTTGTGTTTTAGTAACTTTCTTTGAGATGCTCAATATGTTTTTCTCGTGTTTCTTTCAGATGTAGTGGGTGATAGACTGGATTTGGTTTTTTCTTGGTTTTATTCCTTTATGGTGTATATGGGCTGTCTTTCCAATTTTTGGGAAGGGTGCCAGTGATATCACCGTTATCAGTTACTATATTGTTAGCACTACTGCGTATCTGATTCCATGGTACTCTGTTATGTATTGGCATCGCGAGATGTCGCCTTTCCGGTTAATTGGTGCTAAGGCGATATTTATGATCGAGGTCATTCCTATGATAGTTACAGCAGCCTTGCCTCACCTTTTGGAGTACAATGTTGGTTATTTCGTTATACTACTAGGCTGCACCACATGTGTCTATATCTTTGCCCACTTCATGCACGCAGCGTATGATATTGGACTCTCTGACTTTTTGCTGGGATTAGCAATGCTTGTTCTTGTTAACTGGCTGAATGAAGAATTGCTAGTTGGTGTTTTGGCTTTGAGCTTCTGCCTTTGTTTAAGTTTCTACAGATACATGACTTATTGTGCTCTTGAATTACCTATTCATCCTAAAAAGGAGTTGGAGGAAGAGCTGCCTTGTTGATCTGAAGGGGACATTTCTCTTTTGCTTTTTGTGTTAATAATGAGTCTTTGATAGACATGTATTTGTTCTAGCTTTATCTTGTGTCCTTATTGTTGAACATAATTGTACATCAATGGAGATTAGGAAAAACATCTAGAAACAATTTCAATGAGTAAGCTCTAATATGATTATGTTCCCATTGCTTATAAGCGGTAACCGGTAAAGTTGTCTCCATGTGATCAGAAGGTCACGGGTTTAAGGCCTGAAAATATCCTCAGGGTACGACTGCATACAATAGATCCTTGCGGTCCGGCCTTTTCGAGGACCCCGCGCATAGCGCGAGTTTAGTCCATCGGGCTGCCCTTTTGCTTATAAGTAGACACTAGTAGTGGTGGCAAAATTAATATAAAATCAGTTATCCACCTATATTATCCACTAAAAAATTGGTTGGATAATGAAATTTTAAAAAATGGGTCAAATATGGATAAGATTCATATTATTATCCACTTAAAAATTGATATTTAATGGATGATCAATTGGTTTAATGTTTACATTTGCAAATACTCAAATTGGGGAATTCCTCGAATTTGAGAGATTAGAAATACTCTCAAAAGTGATCATACTCAAGAAGCCATGGATAATATGATTATTTATATTATCTACCGGTTAACCCATTTTGACCCATCCACATCCGACCCAACTCGTCAATTAGGCATCCCCAGGTAGTAGGAAAGTAGATATGGGAGTAGTACATGTTTGATCTACCTGATTAGGGTGGCCTTTGCCAGCAGTACAAAAAAACGTTAATAGTATTTGGGTTTCAAATGTTTGTATATGTATGCACAAAAAACATGTCCAAGTTGTCCTAACCTACTCCTGTTGGAGCAATATTTCTCAATGGGATGGATATTACATAAGTAAATTACAAAACAGCTGAATTATATATTAAGTTGTCTTACGAATTATGCAATGCACATGAATGACTTTGGCAGGACTATTGTACTATTGTCTTTTTCCCTATATCTATTACTTTGCCAAATCTGTAACCCATAGCCGCTATACACATGCAAGGAAAAAAAATCATAATAAATCATACACTTGGATTTTAGTACAAAAACGAGCACATTCAATTTCCTATAGTGAGAGTAGTCATGTCCTTTAGTAATACGCAGGAATGGGACCGAATATTTATTCCCCTTTACTCTTTTTTACCAGTTTCAAAGCAAAAGAGAGAAAGGAGGATGAACATCATTTATGGTATACAGACATATAATATTGGTCACAAAGTATATTATAAGCAGGTCTATACATATATTACAACAACAACACCGACAACAAACAACCCAGTATAATTCTATAAATGAGGTCTGAGAAGGGTAGTGTATACATAAACCTTACCCCTACCATGAGTGGGGAGGGGGATCAATACATATATTGATAATATACCAAAAAAAAAATCTACGACTATCAAGTTATCTAAAGACATACAAGTATAAGATTGTCAAAAGTAAAACCAATGACATGAAAAATAAGACATATTATATGTTAAAACAAGTTAAAATAAATTGAAATATAAATATTATTGAAATAAAAGTTAAACTTGTATAATAAATGCTAGCTGGCAGGGCGGATATAGAGGCTTGATTATCAATTCACGCATCCGGTAAGTTTTGCACATACGTAGCATATATATATATATATATATATATATACTAAGAACTTGTCAAATATTTATAAATATTTTTTGTGAGTTCAATTATTATTATAGTATTAACTCGATGTGTTTGGTGTAATTCATAAATTTCAAATTCTAAATTTGTCTATACTAGCCGGGGAATGCATGACTTTAGTATCAAATTTAGCAAAATCTATGGAAGGAAGACATGATACATGCATGGTGGCATAGGCGAAGTCGGGATTTCAAGTTTATGAGTTTGAGATTCTAATCGTTTTAAGTTATCGGGCTCTAAATTATATATATACATGTATCATGTCTTCCTTCCATAGGTTGTTTCTAATCCTGATGGTAAGCAACCTCCACTTCCAACCGAGAGGTTGTGAGTTCGAGTCTTCCCAAGAGCAAGGTGGGAAGTTCTTGGAGGGAAAGATGCCGATGGTCTATTTGGAAACGGCCTCTCTACCCCAGGGTAGGGGTAAGGTCTGCGTACACACTACCCTTCCCAGACCCCACTAAGTGGGATTATACTGGGTTGTTGTTATTGTGTGTGTGTGTGTATATATATATATATACAGTGGCGGAGCCAGAATTTTCGTTAAGGGGTGTCAAAATATATAAAAGTAAATATACCAGGAAATTAAGGGGAGTCAATACATAGTATATATACATATAATTTATTTTTTTACCTACCTACATAGTATATTTTTCCCGCGAAGGGGTGTCATTTGACACCCCTTCGTATAAGGTGGCTCCGCCACTGTGTGTGTGTATATATATATATATAAAATAAAATTTTTAAGACAAATACAAAGTAAGAATCAAAGCTACTGGGTTCAACCAAACTGCTCCTGACACTCTAACTCTGCCCCAGCATGCGATAAAGATACAGTGTCATAACAGCTATATAATGCAGCTAATTAGGGGTGTACAAAAGAAACCGACAAACCGCACCAACCCGATAATCCGAGTCAAACCGAGAAAAAAAACCGACTATGGTTTGGTTTGATTTGGTTTGTTGTTGGAAGAAAAAACCCGACCATAATTGGTTTGGTTTGGTTTTAACTAAAGAAAGTCAAACCAAAACCAAACCAACCCGATATTACATGTATAGAAATTGTAGATATATTTAATATATAAATATACTTATTGTGATGTAATTTATAAATATTTCTTAAATATGTTCATAATTTTATCTTTTAAGGTATTATTTCAAGGTTGTACTTAGAACTTTTGAATGTTCCAATAAGTTTTATAGCCATTAACACTAGTAAATTAAGTAATGCTAACAAAAGCCCAAACAAAAATCATATCAATACTTATGCTAACAAAAGATATTCAATTCAATACTACGAACGGAAATGTATTGAATATCTATTTTTTGTTTTGCAATAATTTAGATAAAAATGCATAACCTATTTTTATTTTTTCTTTAGCGTTTAGTCATGTAATTAATACTCCCTTATTAATCTACTTATTTTAGCATGACTTAGTACTTTAGATTATGTTTATTTTTATTATGGCTTTTTAATTAGCAATATTTATATTACATATTTTTATTGTCTTTATTGTTGAATATTTTAGGATAATGCCATGACACATCTCATATTTTGTATTATTTTTTTGGAAAATACTTTATATAATTGTATCTTAATAGGATTAAAGAAATATTTTGAGCATAATTTTATATGTTTTGTTTTACGAAAATTTTACCGGAAAAAAAAATCCCCCAAAAAACCGAATAACCCGAAAACCCGAGAAAATCAGAGAGGGAAAAACCCGAGTATTATTGGTTTGGTTTGGTCTTTAAATTTAATAACCCGACACAATTGGTTTGATTTGGTAATTATAAAATTCGAACCAACCCGACCTATGTACACCCCTACAACTAATATACGGGTGATGTGCCTTCTCCTGAATAATAATATAATTATTTCTCAATTTGGTCAGTGGTATCGTGCTTGCCATGATAAACCAACGCCCTAGAAAACGTTATGAAACTAGAGACGTATACCTACTAGCTAGTAGTACTAATTTTACAAATAATAACTAATCCCCCACCTTTCAGCTCTCCCCTAACGGCCTCCTATCTCATTATTCCCAAGAAAATATATTTATCATTATATTATAAAATAAAAATTATAAAGTAAATCAACTAAACACAAATATAGAGGAGGATTGATATATTATTTTAACTTCAGACAAATATACAACATAAATTGTCTTGACTCTTTGTTTATAAAAGAAATAAAGTTGTTGCGAGGCTTTTCGGGAAGCCATGACAAAGGTTTTTCTGAAGCTACTTTCAAACTGTCTGCATGAATTTTCTACGAGTATAAAACTTGTCCCTTATATGATTAAAATGACGGACGAATTGTACTATATAACCCCTCGGATTATGCTCATTTGTTTGTTTTGTAGTACAAAAACTAACCTAAATAATTATTCACTTAATCACTTAAATTAAAAATAGTTGACGGGTGTATGATAAATATATGCAATATACATATATAACCATATATATATATAAACTAAGAAAATTAAACAATAAATCTGGGAAGCTCTTTCTGTAAAGATCAGATTATGACTAATATAACAGTCATAGATATGAAGAATATTTGTCAACCTGACACTTAGTCTTTGCATAATATTTTTGGAAAGATATCTAATTACCAAGGTCATTTGTAATCAGATTTTAGTTTGACCTGCTTGCTTTGGGCGTGACCAAAGTCTATCGATTTAATAATGAAGCAAAAAATAAAAAATAAAAAAATAAAATGCAAACACTAAGGGAGTTATAAAATTTCATCGCACTTAATGGTATTTATTTTAGTTTCACTTTTCATATACTCTCTTCCTTTAAAAAAGGAAGGAATTTGGAGTTGTTGAAAATATAACGAATTAAATAAAAGTATAATACTCTCTAATAACTTAAAATTCGAGATAAGATGAACGCAGTCTAAAATTTTTTGGTCTCAATTAAATATAAATTTCTCATTAATATATTTCTTACGTAAAATTTAAATAATTAGAAACTACATTAAAAAGTATTATGGCAAATATTAAAAGTAATAAGGAATATATAAAATGTCGGGCAGTGGCATAAAGCTTAAGACTAAAATGGATTAAGTCAGATTCAAGAGGTCACTGTTACAATTTGTTCTGGTGTGAAATGATGCCACTTAAAAATATGTTTCCTTGTCACAATTGAAATGTTCATACGACATGGTCAATAAGATATTCTAAGTCATAATCACATTGAAGGAAAAATAAGATGAAAAACATATAAGAAAGTGTTTCATAATTATTTAGAGTGAATGTAGATATGTAATATGTTTTGACTTGTTCAATATGTTACATTGTAATATTGGACGTGAATGAATTTGAGTAGAGTTAATCAATATGTTAGCATGCATGAACAAAGATAATTTATGTAGTCAAATTGTTCTTGTAATACATACAATAACAACAATACCAATATACCCATTGTAATCTCACAAGTGGAGTATGAGGAGGATAGTGTATACGGAGATCTTACCCCTACATTTAAGAAGGTATAGAGAGGTTATTTTCGATATACCCTGGGCTCAAAAATAAATAAATAGAAAAGACAATAACAAACAAACCAATCAAAAATCAAAGCTTGTAATACATACAAATACGCTTTTTATTTATATTCTTAAGTCGAGCTACATAATAGTTAAAAAGATTTGACAGGATACATTCTTGTTGATAGTCTAAGAGCCGGTTTGGACATAAGATTTTTTTCAACTTTTTTCGAAATCAGTGTTTGGTCATAAAATTTTCAATTTTCACTTGAAGATAAATTTTGGAATTTTTCGAAAATTTGAAAAACTCTAAAAGCTGTTTTTTAAAATTTTCGCTCAGATCACTCACAAAATTTCAAAATAACCCAAAATTATATTCATATTCAAATACAACTTTAATTTTTAAATACCATTTTCACTTAAAAAAATTTAATTTTTTTTTTTGAAATTGTACAATTGTTATGTCCAACGCCCACTAAATCCATTGTTGATTAAAAAAAGAGTCTAGATCCGTCCGGGTCAAAATTTACCCTACTTAGGGTAATTTTAGTCAATGTTGAGTATAGTAAAATTTGACTTACCATGGACACTACAAATTTTGAATATTTTTGACGTCATAATACCAAAAAGAGACATTGGAATCTACGAAAGCACAGAGTCATCGTATCACTGTCCGAAAATTAGACAGAAACCAAAATAAAAAATAAAGATTAATTGTTGGTTAAAAACTATGAAAAAGAAAAAATTATGTAAGTAGTAGACAAGAGACGACCTTGCGGTGTCTTCAAGTGTCGTGCATGCATTTTGTTGCAGCCATTTTTGCTATCTTTCTCCGCTGCATGCAACTTTCTCTCTCTAAAAATCTCTACAATACTTCCTTTCTCTCTATATATATATATGTAAATCTGCACCTGTATAATTGTATCTATAAATCTCTGTTCTATTTATCTTCATCGAAACTATAACCCGCCACCGACCACCGCCACCGACCACCGCCGTTATTTTTTTTCACAGTGTTACTTTGACCCACTTTTTTTTTGCTTAAGATTCAGTTCAAGATTCTATAATTATATGCTCATTTGCATGTTTAGTGGTGGAGTTATTTTTTTTATTTTATAGTTTTTTGGGGTTTATTTGATCTGGGTCAGTGATTTGTTAACGGTTTTTATTTAGGGTTTTGGTTGATTTAAGAGTTGATTAATAAGATTTGTTGTTAAAGTTTTGATTTTTTGGGTGGAATTAAAATGGGGTCAATGATTTGCATGAATGAGCTTTGTCGTGCAACGACGTCGTCTGAATGGAAGAAAGGTTGGAGCTTGAAATCTGGTGGATTTGCAAAGCTTTGTTATAATTGCGGGTAATTTTTCTGTTCTAATTTTAGCTTTGTCGTTGACTAATTTTTCTTCATCAGTTAGATTTTCTGATGCAAGGGCAGTTTGGGGATGTGGGTTTTTTTGGATCCCTGAAATAGAGGGGAATTTTTGTTTTTCTTCTCTGTTTGTTGCATTTTGGAAATTGTTCCTAAATTTAGGATTTTTAGTCAAATGTTACATTTTTGGCATTTTATTTTTTCTGTTATCTGCAATTTCTGTCAAATAGGAGCTGTAATAGTTATGTCTTCAAGTGAAATAATAGAATACTTCTTTGGAGGAAGGAGGGGGAGTCATAAGTCAAAGGATTGTATGGTGCCTTTTTGTTCTCATTTTGTTATTTTTAAGCTTTTAAGTAGAGAAAAATGAATTTTACATGATGGTTTAGTGGTAGTTGCAAATAAAGATGAGATTTTTCATTAAGTTTTAGGCTGATATATTTCCATGTTATCGCTTAAACACTATGGTTGCTATAGTTGAATACATCGAGTTCTATGATAATAACTGCCGAAAATAACTTTGAGTATGAGGCAATACTACTATTTTGCTCTGTTGTTCTTCCCATGACAATTGGTATGCCACCTCATTATCAACTGTTTGGTTCTTGGAATCAGAAGTATACGTGCTTATAGCCTGAGAATTCAACTTCTTTCTTAGAGGCTAGAGCTCCCTAGTATGAAATCGTTGTTGCTTCGGACTCATATTTTTATTGTTAATTTCTGTCATTCACCCTTCTATCATACAAGGGTCACAAATGAAGAGCCTTTTCGTCAGTCTTGACATATAATTGACTTCTGCTTTTTGTGATGTTGTTGCGTAGCTATTTATTGGTACTAGTTATTTATGCAATCAGTAAACCAAAGTTTTGTGACGTCTCGTCATTTCTGACTGCAGATCTGCTTTTGAGAATTTAGTTTTCTGTGAAACATTCCACTCTGAGGAATCTGGTTGGAGGGAATGTAAAACGTGTAGAAAGGTTGGTCACTGAATCGTGTTATAGATTTGCATGGTTAACTAGTGTTTTTGATTCTATCTTCATTTGATCTAGCAGCTTATCCACTGTGGGTGTATTGCCTCAAAATATTTGTACGAGTACATGGATTATGGAGGTGTTGCATGTATAAACTGTGCAAGCCAATTGGATGGTCATTCCATCAGACCAATACAGGTATCCTTATTAATTAGGAGTAATTTTTTTATTTTTTATATTTGGTGAGACAGAAAGGGACATGCACAGTGGAATCTGATCAAACTAAAAAAAACAATCCGAATATGTAAAGTTGAGAAGCGGTGGGTTAGAAGCATTGGCATGCACACGTAATTGTGATTTGTGAAGTGCACCAGAACCTTACTATCATGTCTTCTGTCTCGCGCCTTCCAATTCTTGACCAATGAGACTAACTCATCATTCTTTATATGTAGCAGCACCAAATTCATTTTCATCATTGTACCTTTGTGAATCTGAATTAGTCATCATATCATGAACTACTTGGATAATAATGCTTAGCTATAACTTGGTCAAGTAGTAACTTCCTTATTCTTATCTGGTTGTTCATTAGATTTCATGAGTAATTTTACATTACATGTTCTCTGCTAGCGAATTAGGAAGGTGTTGCTTCAATTTACCCCTATAATATTGCAATCTCTATCTACAGTAGGTCGTTACATTTGTTCACAAACTTTGTTTAGGCCACAAGTCTGTGTTACATATACAACTAATTTGGTGCTTGTCTGAGGCATCAACCACATCACAGGAGTTTCATGCTTTGACGTATAGATTTATATGTTTTAGTAAGTAGAGTTTCATATTTCATCGGATTATTTTAGGTTAACCGTTGATAGGTATTTCTCTGCTTCATTTTAGAGAAATAATGAAAGTTATGTCTGGGAGCGAAATTTTAGAAGACACTGTAATGACCAGAAGCTTGAGATTGTACATCTGTTAGGAAATCTTTATTTGGGAAAACTATCTTCAATGGTAGATGAAGTTTGCCAAAACTCCCGCCTAAAATTCTCAGTCAAGTGATTCTACGCCTTGCTGGTAAACAGCTGAGGGTAATCAGTTCCCCCATATGAACGACAAATGCCCCTGCCAAAGAGGCATTTATTGCACTGTGAAGTGGCACTTGAAATGTGGAGTATGTTTCTCTCTTTTGTTTAGATTGGAATGGACAATGCCAAAGACAATGATTGATTGTTAAATTGCATGGCAAGGTATTATGTATAGGATGGACATTATGGAAACCAAAGAAATTGAAGATGTTTTGAAGGGATGAGACTGTCTAGAAAGCTAAATGCTTCAGCACGTTGTAGTTTTGGCTTGAACTTGAAAATGTGAATGGCTTTAAAAATTTTACAGCTTCTCTGTGCTCTCTAGAAATGTAATATCGTAAGCATCTTGGTGCAATTTGTTTTGTGAATAAAATAAATGCACTTATTAAAAAAAAAGGGAGAAACATTGGAAGTGTTGTTCTCCAACACTTTTTACTGCAATAGCTCAAATATATGAGGATGTGTGGACACGAAATGTACTGGTAACCTCACTTATAGGGAGAATGAACGTTAGAGCTTGAAGTCCCTGAGCTTTCAAGAAGGATTTTCTTTAAAGGGGTTATGATTCATTTGCATGTTTAGTGCTCTATTTTTTAAAAAATTTATCGCATTTAACTAGTTTAGGGATTAAGAAAAGAAAAATTGGTCATAAAAAAAAAAGATTTAAGAAAAGAAAAATATATTCGAGTTATTAGGTCATGTTAAAATAATACCTAAAAATGAGTAAAATGAAGTAATTCGTCAAAAGTACTCCATCATCCCAATAGAAATACCTACTTTGACTTGTGTGGATTTTGAGATAAGATGTTTAAGATTATTAAACCAAGGAAGCGTTTATAATAATAATAATTTGGAACATAAAAAAATTGAGTAATGATTACTAAGATGTAAGTTTTTATTCCTTTCGTTCAATTTAGGTGACACCATGTAGCTGAACATGTAGTTTAAGATATCATTTGACTTGTCTATTATATAAATTACTAGAGTAGAAAAAACAAGATTAGAAGAGAAACTTTCTTATCTAATAAGCTTCATAGGTGAATAGATTTGAATTCAAAAAACTAGTAACAACAACAACAAACCCAGTATAACCCCGCGAGTGGGGTCTGGGAAGGGTAGTACGTACGCAGACCTTACCCCTACCTTGAGGATAGAGAGGTTGTTTCCGATAGACCTCCGACTCAAAGAAAGAAGAAAAGAAAGCACTAATAACAACAAGATAATAAGAAAACAAGCGAAATGATCAACATGTAGTTATAGAGATTTATCAATAATAGAATAGAAGGCTAAATTCTAAAAATTAGTGAGTCTATAAATTACATATTATTGGTAGAATGGTGTGAAATATTTGGGACGCCACAAAATGGAAAGAATGTCATAGAATTTGGAATATAGGGATTCTAGATTAATTTATTAGAGGAAGAATAATGATCATTTGTGGAAGACATCATACTTTCTGGAACGGATCAAGAATTAAATTGGACATTATTGTTGGTATTAAGGTGAATCACATTAAAGAATGGTTATAAAATCTAGAATTGGTCATATGCACTTTAAAATTTTGAAAGATGAAAAGGAATTTCGTTGAAGGAAATGGTCAAGTAAGTTGTAAATAGAAAGGTAAGTGGGTCAAAATATTTGTAAACTTCTATATAATAAGTATATATGTACTTTTCTTTTATTTATATTTATTTCTCCAACCAATCATTCAACTATTATTTTTATTTTTGTGTGTCATTAACGTTTAGTATTCATGTGCACATATTAGCTTGTCAAATTTGATGTTTACTCTTTCTTGGCATGCTTGCATGGTGATTTTCATAATTTTTGTTTTCTTGTACTTAGAAAATTTATTTATACGAGGCTAAGACATGATGACATGCTTATAGTATATTAGGTTCGATGCATGCTATGAAAATTTTCAGTCTTTTCAGTCTGTATAGAGATGTATATGTAATAAGAGGTAGAGAACCTCAAGTTAATGAACATTGGAATAGTACTTTCAAATGGGTTCAAATAGAGTGAAATAGTCAGTGAGGATCCATAAAGCGATTCCAACTAGTTGGAGATTGAAACCCTCAGGGGTTGGCCTGGTGGCAATTGACTTGAGCCTTGGGGTTTGCTCCCTTTCAAGGTCTCAAGTTCGAAACCCACTGGGTGCAAACAATTTCTGAGGGCCATCGGACTGGGTAAAACCTGAATTAACCGTGGTGCACTTGCGGGAAACTCCTTGCCGAGGGCCTGTGCACCCCCGGGAATAGTCGGGGCTCGAAGAGACTCGGACACCCGGTGCAAATCAAAAAAAAACTAGTTGGAGATTGAAGCGTAGTAGTAGTAGTAGATGTTGATTTTAAATATTTGTGGAAGTATACAGGGCCAAAATTATCTGTCTCCAATAATGGGAGAAGAGTGAGGTCAAATGCAGTTTGGTTCCATGCTGAAATAGCTGTCAATGGTGAAATTCTGACTAGCACTGTATTATATTACTTTCAAACCGTCACATTTAATTCTGCAAATTAACACTGTTTTTGCACTGAGAGCAAGCATGCAATAATTTTGATTTCGAACTTTGTTAGAATTGCCTAATGTTGTGTCTGTGTTGTGTCAATGCAACACAGACACACCAGAGATTAATTTATCCCCCCTCCACTTTAACATTTTTTTCGCGTGTTTTAATGTTTGATATTCAGATATTCGCTTCTCATATATGATATATGCTCTTTCATGGCTAGCGTACTTGGTTATTTAAATACATTGTCTTCTCTTTAGTTGTTATGTCCTAAGAAAATTATCTACATAATTTTTTAAAGATTTGTGCAAGTATCTAAAAATACAGCATCAAATTTCGCTGTCTCCAATAATGGGAGAAGAGTTCGGTCAAACGCAGTTAAGTTCCATGCTGAAATAGCCATTTACAGTGAAAACTCTAAACAACAACAAGTCCAATGAATTCCCACAATTGGGGTCTGGGGAGTGTAGTGTGGGGAGTGTAGTGTGTACATAGACCTTACTCCTACTTCGGCCGTGAAAACTCTAGACCGCCTCCATAATTTATTACTTTCTACTCTTCACATAGTAGAGGAACCACTCCCACCAGAAAGCTCCCAGTCCCTGAAAGAAATAAACAAATTCAAAATATTGGCAAATGAATAGATTCTCTTTGTCCTTTTTTCTTTTATTTCACTTATCCCATTGGAGTTCAAAATATTGACTAATGAGTAACTTCTCTTTTCTGTCTTTTTTCCCTCTTATCTCACTTATATAATTGGAATTCTTTTTACGTGTTTTCTTGAAGTCCTCTTTACATGTTCTTTTACTACTAATTCCACACCCTAAAAGTATACTCTATAACAAATTTAGATAATGTTCAATAGATGTAATTTGAGTCTTAAAAAATTCAAGAAATGCTTTGGCAGATACCTGGTGATGATCTTCCTAATGGAACCTTGGGAACTAAGGCTACGCAGCCACTAGGTGTTGAGAATAAAATGGATGAGAATAATTTTGACAAAAGAAGGGTTATGCGGTTGAGCAAGCCAGTGGAGACCAGTGAGTCTGGTCAACTCTTTCAAACTCAAAAGAATGACATTAAACAAGAAACAATGGTTCCCATTGGTAATGTCAGCACATGCTTTTCAAATCTAAACCAGCAGCCCGTTGGAGCAGCTTCTCTATTTGGCAAGCCTGATAATGACAGACAAAGCCAAGGGGTTAAAGATATGTACGAATCGATCAATCAGCCGTCTCTAAATTTCTCATTGAGTACTCTTGTTGGTGCTTCAAGTTCAGCACAGCCTTTTCCTGGTGGAGATGTTGAAGGAAGGGAACAAAGCAAAAGTTCTCCCTTTCAACTGGGCCAAAGGACACGCCATATATTGCCCAAGCCCCCCAAACCTAGCCCCAATTCAGGTTCTGAATCAAACAAAGCAATGACTTCACAGACACGGGTTGCAAGGCCGCCCGCTGAAGGCCGAGGTGGCCGCAACCAATTACTGCCTCGATACTGGCCTAGGATTACAGACCAGGAGTTGCAACAAATATCTGGAGAGTATCCTTGTCAAAAGGTTACTATTAGTTATCTTTGAGTTGTATATCGCCCCTATTTATCAAATTGGGATTCTTTAACTATTATGTATATATGCGACTGATTTTTGTAATTTCAATTTCCTCAAATAAGCCCTGCTAAAAATGAAATGAAGGTAAAATAGCAATATTAGACCTAAAAGAAAAATTTAAACCCTAAAATGGTGAAAACTCAAGGAGGCTAAAAAATTCATTCTCTGCAGGGATCAGAGGCTCTACTTATGGCTCTTTTTTACTTTCCCTCCCCCAGTTTTGATATCATTTATGTTTACTTAACTGCAATTTCAGTTTAAAATCCACTATTGTACCACTGTTTGAGAAGGTCCTAAGTGCCAGTGACGCTGGTCGAATAGGCCGTCTGGTTCTGCCCAAAGCATGTGCTGAGGTAAGAGCTTACTTCTTCAGATGTTTTGTAATTTGTGAAAGTTTGGACAATATGATATCTTGCCTGTTATCTTTATGGTCTCAAATGGTTAGCTTGTGATGCACCTTTTTTGCGTCATCAATGCCAATTCCTATGCAGGCGTACTTTCCTCCAATTAACCAATCTGAGGGTCTACCTATAAGGATTCAGGATATAAAGGGTAAAGAGTGGACATTTCAATTCAGATTTTGGCCCAATAACAACAGCCGGATGTATGTTTTGGAGGGTGTTACCCCTTGTATACAGAATATGCAATTGCAAGCTGGTGATACCGGTAACTCTTCATTCTTTCTTCTTATGAAAAAAAATCTTCATATGACCAACCCTGTTTGTAGTAATTGTAAAACATTCTCTTGCATGTTTCCATCTGTTATTTCTTTTAAATTCAATGGAAATGGTAACTTGTTCCTCCGCAACACCCCC